AGTACAGTGCTATTACATATAATGCACTCCCATCGTACTCAATAAAACGCACCTACTCAATCACTTACAGCCCTTTTCCCATTCTGGACAGTCTAATATGTAAAATAGTGTATCCTAGTATACTGGGGAGGAAGGGAGGAAAGGGTTAAATAAAAAATACAATTCTGTAGGGAGTCACACAGCCTATATATTCTTGGATTTACCCATCTGCAGCTTAATTCACTGGAAGTGTTTATGCCAAACCCAGGTAGACATCCCTCAGTTACAAAATCAATTACAGGGACGAAGAAAGACAATCTGAGGAAGAAAGAACCAGTGAGAACTCGGGAGAAGCCAAACTTTGTAATAAGTAAGAACCAAGAAGAGTCTTAAAGAGAACGTGTCCTTGGTTGGCCGCATGGAATGTGACGTCCCATGGCTGAGGGAAGAGGAAGAGGGCACAGAGAGAAAAGGAGATGGGGTACTGGGAGGAAGGGGCGGACGTGGGGGACGACCTCTCCCCAGGGACACAGGCGGCAGGGGTGAAGGGCTCTCCGCAGTCCAGTCCCACTGTCACTTGTTGCCCTGGAGTCTCAGTCCCCCATTCCGACGTGTTGACTCTGGCCTCCCTCCCATGCATTTTCATGCAGTAAAGTTGCTGAAATTAAGAGCTGAATTGTGAAGCTTTGGGGCATAAATAATGTCATACTGTAAAGTCAGGGCTAATAGCAACCAGGATGCCCTTAACGCTCTTAAGAAAAACCATCTGATCTCTGCAGCTCACGATGTGGTTTGAAATTTCCCTTGGCCTACAAAGGAAAATATTTTTAGCATGTAGCACAGTTTGTAACAGACATATAAACGCACTGAAAATATAATTTTCAGAAAGCATCTGGGTTTGATCATTTCTTGTTATACCTCAACGCCAAATAGGTTCTACTTTCCCAATATAAGGAACCCTGCAACATTCTGCTACAAACTATGCAGCAATCACTGTAGCAATTTCTCATAAACATCTCATTACTGGCTCTGTTTTCATTTTTTTAAGTGGCAAATACTCTAATGATTTAAATATCAAAGCTGCATTAAAAAATGGGGCGGTCCTTCTGGAACATTTGGCCCCAATGTTTTCCCCTCCTTCAAAAAGCAACCTAGAACTGACTGGACCATTTTCCCCAAGGTCATTAGGGCAACAGACATATACCAGTATTTACTTTTATGTCTCATTCAAAATATAGACTAGAAAGAGTTGCCACTGTCCAAGGTAAAACTCACCTGCAGGTTTTACTGATCTGCAGGAATTTCAAGACATTAACAACCTCAGCAAAATTTTTTTCATCTCTTGCAGGTCTAACAGGTTATTATCTGTGAATAATTGATTTAATTAGAAGCGAGTGCCTAACCTTCAATGATCGAGTGGCATAAATGCTCTGGCAGATTGATTATTACTTAAGATTTCTCCTAATAATCTTTCAAACAGCAATTTTCCAGTGGAAGGAAAAAGAAATGCACAAACAGCGTTACTTGGTAGCGAATGTTTGTAAAACACCGCTCGGGACAAAACACATGAAAACTGTCCCAACACCACGCCAAACTAAGGGCAAGTTTTCAGTCGGAGGGCAATTCAGCAGATTCCCAGGGACAAAAGGAAGACACTGAGAGGAGAGTAAATTCCAACTTCCTTCTTTCAGAAGTGACAGGTACATCCGGTGCTCAGGCCTCAGCGAGGCACTGGGCACAACATGTGGTGACATGAGGCGCAAAGCGACTCTGGCCTTCACCCAGTCCAGTGCTCTCACTCCCCAAAGAAGCAGTGAGGGCTCAGAGAAGGTGAGTGCTTCACCCACAGCCACACAGCCTGGTGGTGGACGGCTGTCTCCAAAGCTGCGTCTAAGCTATCAGTTGTCCCATTCATCCACCAGCACAGGATGGAGCAGAACAAAACTTCACCACAGCACGCTCCGTGAAAACAGCAAATCGCATACAACACGACTGACTCGCCTCCACTCTTGTTCACTAACCTAAAGATAACGCAGCCTTGCATTCTATGCATCAGACTGTCCGAATCCCACTCAGAGTGTGATGGTGGCAGTTATAACTCGACAGGATCAGGAGCAGAAAACACGGAACCTGTGAAGGCCCCACGAGGAGGACTGGCCTGGAAGGACGGGGCTTTCTGCTGAAGGAGCTGAACATGCTCATCATTTTCGGGCACCAATGAATCACGGACGTCACCCGGACAGAGCTGTGTGTGTGACATGAACGCCGCCCTTTTTTAAATACACGCTTGGACCTGGACAGTTTGACAATCACTGACTGTCACCCTGACCTGTGATACACTTGCTGGCTGCCACCGGGCTGTGCTCCTGACACTCTCCTGCTCTGGGTCAGCAGAGGGGACAAATGGGGGCAAAAGCCAGGGACTCTAGTTGGAGTTTGCTTTTGAAAGAGAAGAAGCAGATACGGAATCATCCCTTAAAAGCTTTAGAAGGTGCATCAAGACACTTTTTCGTTCAACCAATTGCTTTTCCTCATTTGTTGTTTTGATGACCTGGTATTTATAATCTAATTTAGTTTCCATCTCAAGAGAGGAATAGCTGTATCTTTTCAAAAGCAAAGACCTAAACTAATCTTTACACACACTCACATTCATTTACACCAAAAAAGATACCAGCTCTTTGATGCCGCAAAGCCCATATTTCCTATGCAAAACATTCAGTCAGACACACAGGGCTACTGTTTAGAAGAGTCTAAATGCTTGGAAGAGGGTCACGTATACCTATGACACATACTTATGAAAACCCCTGGAAAGTGAGTTAACATTACTGCACACACAAAGTACACATTTTTGGCCCACTCAAGAACAGAAAACATATTCAGGAAAAAGAGCAGTCATTAATTAAATTAAAAATCACTCCTGCTCAGGTTCTCTGCTATATTCACGTATTATCTTTTCATAGGTCTTACAAAAACTAAGGCAAGGATAAGACCAAGCTAATTTGGATTAAAACCAGCTGCTAAAAATATAAAATGCTTTAGTCGAGTAGACTGAGAACCGAGGGTCCTAGATCCTGGCTCTGACATTGATGAGGGCCACGAACTTGGGAGCATGGATGTACTCCCCAACGGTTTCCCCATGGGCGAAAAGACGAGCTCTCCTCCAAGACCTGTTCCTCGCTAGGGTTCTAAAGCAGACCAAAAGTCATGCAACACCAGAAAAGACTAAAATTTAACCACAAAGCAATAGAAGCCGCACCTAAGAGATATGCCATGCAGATGCTAAGGGTACACCTATTTATATGACATAATGGCTCTCCACAAAAGAGAAGAAAAGAAGCCCTCTGTTCCAGAAGCAGCCAAATGTTCCTAATAGAGTTCCTTGTCAGCAGGTGTCCCAGTGGCAGAAGCGGGCAGAGGTCCCTGTGAGCACTGTGGCCGGCCACCGCGAGAGCCCAGAGACCTGGGATGCAGACCTGAACAGCAGTGCGTGTGGCGAAGCTGTGCGACATCAGCGTGAAGCGGGCGTGCACATGTGTGCACCCGTGTTCATGACTCACTGCACTGCCTGTCTCAGGGCTTGCCCCCGGGCATGGGAGCTGCACGATGAAAACACATAAAATGTGCCTTCGATGAAGAGTCTACCACAGTATGTCTTTTGCCTACTAGAGAGAATGGGGGCAGTTCCTCTTAAAAAGTGGAATCAGGTGTTTTTCTGTTGACAAAAGGTTTACAATCCGAAGCTGATAACTTTGTCATAATTCTTTGAGTTTACCTTGTTCCTTCTTTCTAAAGATCTCTCTGTATGAAGTAGACAAAGCACCACTACGAGGAAATCCAATTAAATGGAACCACTTTACAAGAGCTACAGTGCCCTTAAGAGGGTTTCTCTGTGGGCACACAATGTGTACAAACCGGAGGAACAGGTAATGCCTGTGCATCCGAACGTGGCCGCCAGACCCTGCCCCTTGAGGACGACCACACAGACTCCCCTGCATGATGAGCTGGTCGACTTGTGATCGAGGTTGGGGAGGGTGGGGACAGCCGAGTCTCCAGTCTCCAAGCACGCTGTCTTCTCATGGACTTAGCCTTCTGACTGGATTTGGCAAATACTGAAGTCAGCCTCTGCGGTTCCCCCTAGATCTCAAACTCAGAGCAGAGGCCCCTTGTGCAGGTCTTGAATGCTGGTTGGTTTGCAGATGCCCGCACAGACTGTGGGCACGTGGGACGGGGCTGTCCCCTTTCAGCGTCGTATGCCCGCTGCTCAGCACAAGGCTGGGCTGGGCGTAAGCAATGATTGAATAAATTAGACCACAAAGCCAAATACTTGGATTGCTCAGGAAGACTGTAAAACTGAAGGACTCTAGGAGTTTAGATCACACTCAGCAAAGAAGGAAAATTCTCTTGAGAGAATATATTCCAGAATATGACATAATTATGGACTGTACCAGTTGGTCCAAGCCCTGTTTATGGAGGTCCTCATTTAGTGGGCGTGGCCGGAGTCTGCGATCTGTAGTTTTAAACAGCTTCCTGGATTATTCTAGACCGCGGTCTCAATATAACTAGGCTAGGAGAGGCCCTCCAACCCAAGCCTGCATGATCTCTTTATTAAAACCCATGTGCACAGGCCACTACAGACTGACTCCACCAGCTGACCTGAGCCAGATAGGTTTTCCAAAGCTAGTGGCTCCTGCTTCCTTTTCCTTCTGGTTCAAAAGGCAGAACAGCAGGTTTATCCTCAGCCTGCCAAGCAAGCCCTGGATTTCTCTCCAGAGTTAGGGAGACGCTGCTGGTCATGCAGATATTTAACGATGCTTTAAAAAGGTGTCCATGAATACCTTCTGGACATGAAAGTTCAAGAGTCGAAAACCAAGGAGCAAAAGTCTCTCTAACTGTTCCCCTCACTCCAGGAGATGCCCTAGTCCCTGCGCAGAGGAGAAAGGCTTGGCGTTTCATCCAGGGAGGCTGCATTCTAGCGAGGCTGCTGGCCTGTGTGCCCAGGTGCCTGATGGCCACTCAAGTACCAGCACTCTTTCAACAGCCTTCAGGGGCTCCCTGTGCCTCCTGCATTTTGTGCAAACTTCATCATCACATTCAAGCCCCTGTGCAGGCTGGCTGTGTCCTGCTTCACTACCAATCCCCTTTGCAGATCCTGCTCTCGATGCAAAAGGTAACGGTAAACTTGTTCGTAACGAGGAAAATGGAAGGGGGGAGATCACTGCTCCAAATCGTGGTCAAAACGCATTCACCAGATGCATTTTATCACTATAAAAACGCACTCACCTGTCTATTTTGGGGGGGCCAAATGGCCTTGGTCAGAGTGTGGTAGGGGCCAGGGGGAGGGGGCTGAGAGTGAGGGTGAGGCTGACTTGGGGGGGGGGTTCATTTCCTCCACCGCTCACACTGAGGAAGTTGCCTCCATTTCCCTGGTCCTGGGGCATGACCCACTGAGCCTTAATCATGCTGTGACAAACCAGTCAGTCAACACCTCTCCCCAGTCCCCATCACTGAGATCTGACATTACCCCATGCTTCTCAAACACACGAACTAAGTTTTCCACCATTAGACGCTGAATATGTCACTCTCCTTCCCTAGGATGGCCTTCTCCCTATCTGTCTGTCCTTCAAGACTGGCTTCAAATGGTACCTCAACCTTTTCTGCTTCCACAAATGGGAAATGATCTCTTTCTTCCGAACTTGGAAAGTGAGTTCATTTTACACCGCTCATTGCCTTGTGCCTTAGGTCAGTTGTTTGTGCATTTTTTTCCTACTGAGTTATTAAGCGTCTTGAGGGTAAAGCCTGTGTTTCTCTCACCTTTGAGTCATCCACAGTCCCTCTCAGAGGACAGATGTACGGGCTGTATTCATGGAGAGAAGAGAAGGGCAGGGAAGGAAGGCACCTGACTAAGAGGTATGATTTCACATCCTGGAAGAAGCTTCCTCTTGCAAATCTCACCCACCTGGTCTGGGATGCTTGGCAGTCCTGTCGAAGCCTAAGATCTGACATAGTCACAAAGGAAATCTTCAAGGGAGAGGAAACAGTTTTAATCCTTAATCATTCACTTGGTGTCTAGTCTTAGATTACCGTGAATGAGATTCAAATTCTTTCTGGAAATCAGGTTTTGAAAGGGAGAGAAAAGGAGGAAGGATACAGAGCTTTCATTTGGGGCATCAAAGGAAAACATCTCCTGTTTCATTGTAGTGTCTTATGCTGTGAAGAGGTTAATACATTTGAACAGTATCAAATCACATGCCCCCAGTAATATACAACGCCTGGCACAGACCTTCAATTACCTACTTCTCTCTCGGAGGATGGATCCTTCCTTCCCACATTTCTTTCCCCCTCATTCCATCAGAGACTTTAAAATTTTTAGGACTGGATATACAGCATCATTTGGAACCAAAAAATTATACCCAAAACATATTCATATTCATATTCATTCAATAAAATATAGTATGACCAACTTGAGTGATTTTTATTGGCCATTTTGAAGAGATTCACAAGAAAAGTGGAACTAATCAGATAAATATTGGGAATAAGCATTCTTATGGGCTGAATTTGTGCCCCCCAAATTCACATGTTGAAATCCTACCCCCCAGCACCACAGAATGTGACTGTGTTAGAGATGGGGCCTTTAAAGAGGTGATTAAGGTAAGACGAGGTCACACAGCGGGATATCATCCAGCATGACCCGTGTCTGTATAAGAAAAGGAGATGACAGAGATCTCTACACACACCGAAGAAAGACCATGTGAGGCCACAGCAAGAAGGTGACCATCGGCCAGCCAAGAAGAGAGGCCTCAGGAGAAACCACACCTGCCCACGCCTTGATCTTGGACTTCCTCCCTCCACACCTGTCAGACAATAAAAGCCTCCTGTTTAAGTCACCTAGTCTAGTATTTTGTTATGGGAGCCTGAGCTAACTGATATGAGCATGAGGCCACAGGTGCAAAAAATAAGGAAAATTAGGCTAAAAATGAAAGTATTTTAATAAAATGTCGCTCCATCTCTTGTGACTGCCAAGCAGTGTATCACTGAGGTCTGTGAGAAGAAGGGCCACCACTGCGATGAGCAGTAAGTGACAGTGGTGGCTCAGTGACAAGGCAGGCCCTGCCCCAAGCAGGGCCAGAGAACACGGCTCTGAGGATCCCTGACAAGAGGTTTAGTCACTTAGGAAGTGTGAGTCTAACCACTAGGCAAGAATGACAGCAAAATTATTAGGGGCCCAAACCACACCACATTATGGCAACTGCTATGATTGATATAAAAAAAACCCAAGGATCTCACAGCACATATAATTTGAAAAATATCACTTCTCTGGAATTTGCAAAACAACCAGTCTCAGCTGTCTTGAATGACCATTAAATGTAGAATTCTTCTAGACCCCACTGAGATGAAGCATCCTAACGGGCCTTTAGATTATGTTGGTAACATTACACAACCGGCGCTAAAAAAAGCCTACGCGTTAGCCCCCTAATAAACCACCCGGCTTTCTCCGTGCTAAAAGCACGTCACGGCGCCAGCGACAGAGTGCCTTGCATCATATCTTATCAAGTTTCCTCAGTTTTGTGACCGCAGCACTTTTCCCTACAAGACTTAAGTTTGCCGTCATTTGCTTGTGTGGCCTTTGGCGACGTTCAGGTGTTCGTTTGGAAAGGAGTGGCATTTTCCAAGATGACACGATAACCTGATGTTCTTAATTCTGGGCGCTTGATTCCCGCCTATGTAGGTGACGGGCCATTAGCCATCTTCTCCATCCTCACCGCTGCCACTGCTGCCCGTGATCCTGCCACGGAGGGCTGCCGAGCCGGAGAAGGGCTGTGCGGCTCACCGGTGTCACTACGGTACTTATAGGACCTTGGGAAACGGCGCGCCGCCGGGGAGCTGGCATTAAGAGCTGAAGACAGGCTGGTACTTAGCTCACACCCCTGTGAACGCCTCCTGTGAGGGGCGCTCCGGCCCCTCGCCCTGATCACTGGGGCCAGCACCACAGACTGGAGGGCGTCTGTGGACCGGCCACCTCTATCTTCATAATTACGTTTAACAAAAATCCGGATGATTTCAATAACGTCTCTTCAGTGGGGGATTTTAAGGCATTATGCACTAAGATTTTAATTTGCTTTAAAGCAGCACTATTCAATATGAAGACCTGCAAGCCACATTTGTCATTTAAAATGTTCTAGTTGCCATGTATAAAAAGGAAGCCATAACAGCATTTTAGCTGTTATAGTTTATAATTTTAATAATACATTTTATTGGGTATATATATTTATATATGTAGGATTACCATGTATCCAAAATGTAACCGTTTCAACACGAAACCAGTATTTTTTAAAACCTTTCATGAGATCTTTTACCTTCACTTTTTTGTACTAAGCCTTCTAAATCTGCTGTGTTTTCACCATTCATCTTAACTGGATGCTCAATTTTAATCAGTAATGCCTGGTCTGAATTTAGAGTTCGTGGAATGTACAGATGAAAAAGTAGATCGATTCACATACTCAAGTTGTTCCAAACCATGACTGTATTATTAGAATTTAAATTTAAATTGAGATTATGTTAAAATAAATATTCAGTGCTTCAGGTACATAGATATTTTTCAAGTGCTTAATAACCACCTGTGCCCAGTGACTCCTGTATTGGACAGGGAGCCCCTGAGCGTCTAGTGTGTGCATCCCCATAGGTGAGGCAAGGGTGAGTCAGACACGACCCCTGTTCCTGTGGAGAGTGGGGGTGGATGTATGAGACTCATGCACAAACAGCAACAATATAAGACAGGTGATGATACTTGCTAACTAAAGAGACAGGAAAGCATTCCAAGGAGAGAAAAGGCCATGCCTAAAGGAACGCTAGTGGTAAAGTACATAAATATTGGAGACTGGTAATTATGTTTGGGTATATGCCTAAGAGTGGTGAAAAATAACGTTTAAGAAGACAGCTGGGGGGCAGTTCTGCTGACAGCCTCAAGTAGCAGGCCAAAGAATTTGTTCTAAATGGGGGAAAAGTTTCCAGTGAGGACGGATGTGAGCTGTGTTTTGGGAAGGAGTCACTTAGCCTTGATGTGGATGGTGGATGGAAAGGGGGGCAGCTTGGTGGCTAAAAGAGCAATTAGCTGCTGCACTAGTCCAAGCAAAAGATAATGAAATAATGGAGGAGGTGCTAGGAAAGGAAAGAAAATTATGAATGTAATAAATATGTACCTCATAATATCAGGACTTGGTAACGTGGGCAGGAAATCAAGGAAAGGGAAGGGTCAAAGTTCTGTAACAACTGAAATAAGGAAGTACAGGAGAAAGGCTGGAGGGGGAAAAGTTATTTCTAATGTATTTGCATATTAATGTTTTTCTAAAAAGATTGGAGTATATGAACACATGGGCTGGTGAGTAGGAGGTGATCTTTGGGCCAGCATGAAAGGAAATCAAAATCTATTAATAGAATTGCCAATTAGCAGAATGGGCAACTTTCTTAGAAATAATGTATGCTATTCTAACAGTTGGGAGGGTCAGAGTAAATTAAATTATGACCATTCATTAGAAAGCTATGTGGCTGTTAAAAATGATTGCTCTTGAATTATATCAAGGGATATGGGAAACTGCTTAAGATATATTTTAAATGAAAACGTTAAGTTTGGATAGTAAGATTCCAATTTTGTTTTAAAAGGATATGCACTATATAGCGGATAGCAAAGAAAATGTGTGGAAAGACACATGCCAGGCATAGATTATCTCTGCAGGGTAAAATTAAAAGGGGCATGGGTTCTTCTATTTTGTTATTTCTTGAGTTTGCTAGGGAGAACATATTATTTTTATTTTTAAAAAAGGAGTAAACTATGTATTCACATGTCCAGGAAAATGACTGAAAGGATTTCTATCAAAAAATTATCTCTGGGCCACTTTAATTTTCTTATTACAAAATTTGTCTATTTCAATATGTAACATTTCTATAATCAAAAAAGCCAAAGAAGGAAATAGTCTATAATATCAATGGCACAATCAATTTTTAAGTCTGTCTGCAAAGCCAAAGGTTATAGGGTTGGGTGTTCCTTACAGAGATTTGGATCCAGTTTCTTTTACTTCTTTGGGGCTCATGCTTAAACGTTGATTGCTCCTGAAGCTATTTCCACATTAAAAAAAAACAAACTGATTTCCATTCAACGTGGCCAAAAAGGAAAATGGAGGCCAACCCCAGGGCAAGCCTTCGTGAGAAAAGACAAAAAGGCCTCTGTAACCTGTGGAATGAAAACTTCGCCAGTAGAACGTGACTCTTGTCGTGAAAGACTTCAATCGCCGGTGGACAGAAATTTTTAAGGAGAACAAAGAGCATCGGAGCGATTTCAGAGCTCTGCTTGTCATTCCAGGCCAAACACACCAGTAACTTTATATTATAATGATGGGGACCAAGAACAAGGTGTCCCATTCACTGTGAGGCTCCTGCGACCAGAGGGTGCGGAGTCTCTCACTGAAGTGGAAACGAGCAGGAACTCTCCAGGAGCGCGGAAAGGGCCGCGAGCAGGTAAACCAGCATCGCCCACATAAATAAGGGCAGAAAACGGGTGAAGAGATGAAAAGACGCCGTCCAATCATTCACCGATGGAAAGATGTGCACTAAATCAGGGTCTTTTCTGTCTTCCACTGTTGTTTTTACCCGAACGGTTAAGCACCCAAGGAAATACCAGTTGGGTCTTAAAGACAATTTATGGCCGGGCTGGCCTCCGTGCACCTGGCTGTGTTTTGACAGCAGGTTTCGCCAGTTTATAGCGGAGATTCTTGTCTACGCTATAAGCTGTCACGAATGCAACTGGACCTTTGGAAAAAATGCACTGCTCAGGGGCAGACCTCTCCCTGCCATGCACCCCTCCCCCTTTTAATGAAAAGCAAAAGCCTCCTGCTGGTGGCAAAGCCTCCTCTTCTTCAGGGGAAATGACAGAGGCTCCTGGGAGCGAGGGGGTCAGCCCCAGGGCTACAACCCCAGCGAGCGGGGCGCGCCTGCTTCTGGGCACTGGATTAAGGAACGCTTTCTTTTCTCTTCCCTCGGGGCGGACTGCTGAACACAGCGGCCTTGTTGTTCGGGGCCAGGACATTCGGGATTGTGCTCTTTGAGCTCCCGACGCTTCCCGGCTTCCAGGCCACGCTCAGAACGTCTGGGAGCCTGGCAGCCGCCAGGCCTAGGAACTCAAGGCAGATGGCTTCGGGGGATCCCCGCTCCCCAACCCCATCTGAAACATGAGCAAGCTCGGGCTATTTCAGATCAGACAAATCTTAACTTTGTTTCCTCGGACTTCTGTACTCAGTGAGTGGCCTGCTTTGGAAGCCACTGTCTTAGAAATCACAGGAGCTCGTGATCATATACACAAGTTGAAAGCGCCGCCTCCCAGGACCGGCGCTGCCTCACTCCACCCAGTTCTGTTTCGTGTTTTTAGGACGCAGGATTTTACTCTTTTTTGCTCCCAGAAGGATTGAGCCAAACAACTAACTTTTGCCAGGTGACACGCATTCCTGAACCAAAGGCAATGTGTCCTTTTTAGGAAAGAGCCCCTGGTGGCCGGCATTTCCCCTTGTGTGGCTGAACAGGACAAAGATGTAGGTAGAAGAATGAAAAGGTAATGGAGAACAGCCCCTCCTGTTCCTTAATTTCATGGTTCACAGACATTCATTGACATTCAGACACTCCCAAGGGGAAGCTCATATAACCAGCCGTGAAACCAGAAACGGGCAGGCTAACAGGGCTGCTTGCCTGGGCCCAGGGCAGGGTTTCTCACCACCGTGGGTGTCTAGTCCCAAACATGAGGGCCCACTGTGATGGGTCCGCAGCTGCTCCGGGGGCCAGCCCAGGCTGGGAAAGCTCCAGGCCTACAGGGTCCTTTGACCAACCGCATCCAGGATGCCACCCTCGGACCCCCAGGGCCTAGCCTCTAGCTAGGGTCAGCACGTGGGGCCGCCCTTCAGGCTCTAGGAAGACCAGCCCCGGGGAAGGTGGCAGGGCGAGGAGGCTCCAGGTCAGGTGATTCCCACGGAGCTCGGGCTGACTGGGAACCACCTCTCCCCCAGAGCTGCCCATGGGCTGAGAGGGAGGGAGAGAAAAAACCCTGCAGTCGGGTGGGTCCCCGTCTGCAGGACAGAGAAATAAATCTAAACTGCTCATTCGGGTGGGAAGAGCAGCCTGAGGCAGGGATGCAGAACTGGAGGAGGAAGTCGAGGGGCCGCCACACAGGGGAAATGATGGAGAAACTCTAGGTATGAACTGCTACCTGGTGACACCACCCAAAATATACACCCTGCTTTGCAAGACCTCACTTAAAGGGTCGACCAGCACGTCCACCTCCAGCACCAGGGTCACGTGAGGCAGAGGCCTGGGGCACACATCACCATCAGGGACGAAAAGAGGGGAAGCCCATCGTTTTCCTGACTTCCGGGCCCTCCACTTGTATCAGTATATATAAATACATCCCTGTCCCGGCTGACACGCTAAGGGACAAGCTTCCCAGAGGCAGTTATCTTAAGCGCACCTGTGGTATTCCGGAACTCTCAAGCCAGTCTCGGAAGATGTTTTCAACAGACAACTCAAGCCTTTAAAAATAAAACAACAACAAAAAGGAAAGGGTTAAAAAATCACCGAGCACTTACTGCAGGGAACAGTTCTAACTATCCGGGCACATCACAGCATCGATTTTCCAGAGAAATCTGGAGAAAGCGCAAAATTCCAGGTCCAAGGGAGGAGGGGGACCCGGCCGCATTCAGTACAGCTTCTCTTCAGTCAATGAGAGAGCACGTGATGAAATCTAAAGACCAAAGGCCAGGCACAATACATGCTTTTCATGCCCTGAGAGGAACTTTTTGGTTGGGAGTGCCAGTCAGGGAGGACGGGGCATGTGCACGGGACACGTCAGGCTTGCCTGCTTTCTGAAGGCAGGTGGAGTGAAGAGAAGTCTCAACATTACGGCACCCGGTGCATCAAAATGAAATTCGAACTTCATAGCGGAGATGGGTTACAACAAGCAAAAATGATACAAGTCATACTGGGGCCCTGAGAGGCTCGGACACACGGAGCACGTGTGGCTGGCTGCTGCCTGTTTTCAAGCAGGCCCTCATTCTGCTTTATTTGAAATATTGTGATAGCTTGTTGTGTCTGATCCAAAGCCAGCTGAAATCCTTTCGGTTTCATGCCCTGCTGATTTAAGTGCTCCTGAAATTTACAAAGAATCCAATATATTGAGGGTCAGTAGACTTCGGGTTATATCCTCCTGTTTCCTGGAGTTTAAGGAATCCCTCCCTGGCTTCTGGATGACTCCTGCTCACGCCTGGTATCTCTGGCCACAGAGGCCTTCCTTGAGCCCTCTCCCAGGCTGTGTGTGTCACACCCAGCACGCTGCCCGTCCCCTGTGCCGCGGCATCCATCACAGTTTGTGAGTGCGACTTATTTGATTACTTGACTTTTCACTGTCTCCTCGCTGGATCGAAGCGCCCTGAGATCACAGTCCACGTCTGCTTTCCTCACTTCCCTAAACCCAGCACTTAGGACGATTCTCGGTATAAAAGGGGATCCCCATCGATATTTCCCATTTGAAAGAATGAAAATACATTTCATTGTAGACTCAGTAAAAATTATTCTCTTTTAACTCAATACTCACCCTTCTTAGGAAGACATATCCAAGTTGTTACACTCTGTATCTTTTTTTACTTTATGTATTACATACTACATGATACACACGCATTGTTCCCTCCTCCCTCCCTTTGGAATTGTAAAGACGTTGCGGAAGGCTACGGTGCTGTCTGAGGGCCGAGTGCTCCCCACACAGCTTGAGGGCTGGGCTGCAGTGAGAAAGGGCCTGGGTGGGCGTGGGGAAGACGGCGCCGACTGATTTGTCCCTTCTTTGTCTTCTCCAGTGAGAAGCAAGTCACCCGTGTGCCTTGGTCTTCCCTGGTGCCAGGGCAAAACCAAAGGATGCGGAAGGAGGCAACTATTGCTATTTTCAAAGAGAAAAGACACAGAGGGAAAGCGGGACCACACAGAGAAAGTGGTTTGGACATTTTCAAGATGGTGCCCACCTGTGGGATGACCAGGCAGGGAAGAGGCCAGAAGTGAGCATGGGGAGGGTGACTACCTCCCTAGGCTGCCTGTCCAGTGGAATTACTGGCTGTGCCTCGGATGGAAGACCAGATGCCACCATCCCTGGGCTCGTCCCCACTATTTCTTTGTTGTCCTCTAACATCACCAATGTCAGTGCCAATGGCCAAGTCCCCTGTGTAGACTGTGAGAGTGTGGGAGTGTGTGTGTATGCTCATGGGCATGCACGCAAGTGTGCACTCAGACACCCGTGTGGAGTGTGTGTGCAGGCACGTAGGGTGGGGCCACCAGAAGAGAGAAGTATCTCCCAGAGCACCACCTCAAATCAAGCTCATTGTCCTTTCTTGGATGTGATTTATTGTCTAGACCACAGAAAGGGGAGCAGGAAAGGCCCTTAAGTGGCATAGCTGATCTTCCAGGAGGAGGAACGTGGGGCTGAAGACACTTAGAGTAAGTGTCCAAGGAGACTTGACGTTGTTTTATTTTCTAGTGAGATGTCTGAGGCTGGAAGTTAAGATAGATTTTTGTCTTTCCATTGAAGACGATGCTCAGTGGAAGGGCTGGCCTTGTTTGGAGTGAATGCAAAACATCCCCACCTTGCCCGGCTCCTGGGTGGGCAGTGCATGTGGTGGGGTCGAGCTCCTGCCCCAGGACCTGAGTGGGGCTGCAGAAGCCCTGCTGGTGCCCTGAAGTTGTTTGCCCTGATTTAGAAGCAAAGGTCCATTTTCCTCCCTGTCCTTCCTTCAATAGTAGGAAGCAGCCCATTCATTTGCTTCCTTTCCAGCCAAAGAGGGACACTCCTGTGTCCAGAGCCCAAACTTCAAGCGACACCCAGGAAAGCAGCAGCAAGAGCCTGACTTGGAACTGAGCTTCCCTGCGCTGGGGCATCTAGGAAAACGGGCATCCTTACACCGTCCACAACTTAAGAGGAGGATGGAGAATTTAGAACGGATTTAGGAAAGAGCAGTAGTGATGATCAAAGGAGTGAGCACATTGGATCCACAAGGGAGGTCAAGGGAACTGGGATTAAATATCCTGAAGAAGAGAAGTCTGGGGAGTGACTTCAGAGCCATTTTCAAGTGATTTTACAAAAGATGGTGAACAGCTGTTGTGCATCCCTGTGGAGGAGTAATAGAACATGGACATAAATTTCCTTCGGGGAATTTTAGCTTAAAGACACTTCTTTAGGGGTGGCATGGCGGGGGGTGCTGGGGAGTTGAGTCCTGGAATGTCACAGGGTGAGGCCCAAGTCTTCACCAGAGAGGACTGAGAACAGGAAAAAGCTTCTCTGAGACCATCCGATGGCCTGCGGAAGGCTGAGGCGGGAAAGCCGAGGGCGCGCGTATCTGATAGGAGCATGTGACGGACACGAGTCAGTATGCTGCTGTGCTTGTGGACAGACGTGGGACCCCAGGCGTGGGGAAGAGGCACTGACTGCTTCAGGTGGGACAGCTGGAAGGGGCACAATGGGAGGTGCACTGGGGGGTCTTCTTAAAGGAGGCAAGGCTTGAACTATGCCCTGGGCGAAGGCTGTGCTGTCCCGAATGATGCGGCAGAACCAATAAAAATGAAGAAAGTGCATGCAGGGCACAGAGAGCAGAGGCAGGAAAGCCCAGAGCCGCGGTCAGCTTGGCCGGCACACAGAATGAGGTGAGAAAGGAAATGGGGTGTCCTGTGAGAACCCTCATGTCCTGCCATTGAGCCCTGGCTTCATCAAGGAGGCTCTGACTCAGGGCTGTAGAATGGTACAGAGTAAAACCGAGGAAGAGTCACCACGGGAGAAGAGGCTGGAGGCAGGGAAACCAGAGAGGAGGCTGAGAGTGTGTTCCGATGAGAGGCAATGCGAGGAGGCCTAAACAGATGTGGGATGCTCGGCAGGGATGTGGAGAGTGGCGCTGGACGAGTCCCGCTGGGGAGGTGAGGGGTGGTGTGTGGACAACGTGCCCCCTTGTCCTCTGTGGGATGACTTTCCATATAAGGTGTAAGCCCGTGTACAATCTGTGCTACAGTCTACGACCCGGACAACTGGCCAGGCCAACTGGGAGGGTGAGTTCACCAGAAAGTACTCACACAAATATCGCTTGGCCTTTAGTATAGGCACACACATATTATACAGTGGCACTAAAAAAAAAACCAAACCAAAACTCCTCTATCCACTGACAAGCAAATGGATAAAAGCAATAAAGTGGTAGCTTTGCTTATTAAACATCTGCAATGTACCAGACACCACAGACAAAATCTCATTTAAACTTTACAGTGTCAGTGTGAAGCCAGTATTATTCTCCCCATTTTAGAGATGAGCAAATAAAGGCCCAAGTGGTGAAGGGACTTATCCACTGCCTCACAGTTGGTGCTTGAAGAGCTGGAATGCAAACCTATGTTGCCTGGCTACAAAGCCCCCGCTTTGCTTTCTGTGCTGAATTCTGGCTTCACAATACATTGGTGGATGATTTCTGGTGCAGACCAGCCTGCAGAAGGGCTCCGAGACTGCGCTGGCTCTGAACAGCACTGACCTCTCCTTCTTGCTCACATCTGCTCTGCTGCAGTTGCCCTGATTGTCTGCCCTTCGATTACAGGTCTGAAGAGACGGGGACAGCCTTGGGAGGGGCAGAGGTGTGAGGGCAGGAGAGTTCATTGTTCAGCTGCATCCAGGAGCAAAAGACACTCTCCCCTCAATGAAGAGGACCTGTGTTTTCAGATCACTGTCCTCTGGAAAGGTTCAGAGCATCTTATATCCATTACCACTTCACTTCTCAAAATATCCTCGTGAAGTGGGCGTCAATGGTCGTGCGCCTTTTTAGCAGATGGGGAAACTGCAGCCTAAGAAGACTGGTCACAGTCAGTCCAGGCTGTAGAAAAGGGTTAAAGAAAAGACACAGGTTTCAAGACTCCCAGGATCAGGGCAGGCATCAAATTACACCGATGGATGCCTGTTTGCAGATTCCTAACGTGGAATCAGATGTTCAACCAGGAGAGGAAGATAAAAGCATTGACTAAAGAGAATTTTGAAGGTAGTATAAGTGGTCTTACCTCCCAAGAAAATTATGACGCCATGTGAAAAAGCTTAATTTTCAGAGAAGAAATGGGCTGTATGTTTCAGGAAAAACAAACAAATATGTACATAATTTTTGCTGTTTTGATCATAATTACTGAGATGACCATACAGGTGAATTCTGAGTTCCGGACTTGGATCTACAGCAGTGGTAAAGCGGAGAGCTGACTTTTTCAAACCAAGACACTAAGAGTCAAAGCCAATGCTGAATGTTTCCCCTCTGAGATCATGTGGCTTAAATAATCACAACAGACAGGCAGAAGCATTTCCACTTCGCTGGGACCCAGGACTCACAGGAAATTACTCTTCTGCATGTCTGATCACTATGGAAATTGATTTTCTACAGATAGCTCAGGGTACACAGCCCCACCACCGCATGCTCTCCGTATCTGTACTAGTGAGCAGCACTCCTGCGTCATTACTGAAGCCCCTTTGGTGTCCGAGACAGCGGGCTGTTTCACCCTCTGGCTGGAGAGTTCCCTCTGCTGACCTCCCACATCCTGTATGAGGCAGCTCGAAGTTTAGGAGTGGGTCTCCAGACGCTGTGTGCTACAGCCGTGGTCACGTGTGGTTAATGCTGCAAGGCAGAGAAGATGCTGGACACCCTGCATGATGCAAAGTGACCAGTGGTCCTCTCTGTGATGTTACAGTGCATAGAAACAGACCCAGGCCTGCATGGAAACGGTGCTGCGTGCGCTGTGTGGCTTGTTTGGTGGGTTTCTGAGGGCGGAGTGCCGGACGGGGAGCTGACCATTATCCACCGCCTGTGCCTGTCAACTTGCTGCTGGTCAGGAGAGATGCCCTTATCACTCTTGGCTCTGTCTTTGGCCTCTCGAGATTCTAAAGATCACATTCTATCTGCGCCTCTAAAGGAAAGCGCAAGGCCCCAGTAACATCCACAGGAAGTAAGTGAAGACGGGCAGAATTTGGGAAATGTGGTTCCAGACGGGTGCAAGCTTTGGGAGCGCCAGTGCTCAGGGTCTGAAACGGAAAATGCTCCTATTCTGAACTGCAACTTACATTCTGTATGGATTTTTAAATTTTACTAATTGACTCTTTTAAGTTCCCTCTCTATATGTGGATACAAACAGTGTACACCTCATGGCTTTGCGCACAGTTACCTCTTTTCTTGGGCAAAACCAAGTCACTGTGCTTGGGTCAGGAATGATGGCTGCTGAGGTAGTAACACCGACAGAGCGCTCCCGAGCCCCGTGGGGGAGGAAGAATCTTGAATTAAAACAAACACAAGAATGTGCACACACAGACGTCATGACCGATGAGCAATGACAGAACCAGCAGCTGTTCATACCTGCTGATAGCAGGATATCGGGTGGGAAGAAAGGCACATGGGATAAGGCACTCCCTGGGGTGCTTTTCTGCCAGGGCAGGCTGGCATCCAGGATCTGTCTGGATCTCCTTCTAAGTAAGCACTTTTAGCTTTTTCTTCCCTTGGTCTCATAAAACAGCATTTGACAGAAACCTCACTGGAGGTGTCTAAAACATCACTCCCTGTCTTCCCTCTTCTACCTTCAAATATTCTCCTTTTTACTCCCTCTGCCTTGTACAAATTCCCGAGACAGAATACCCGCCGCCCGGACTTCCAGAGCCAAGAAAGAAAGGTCAGGTCGTGCTGGACTCTGTTCAGCTTACATAACCAATCAACCAAGTCTTAACTCTGGAATATTCCTCAGATCTGTTCATTGCTCTCAAAGCCCACTGCCACCGCCCCACCCACGGTTCCAGCTCTACGTGTCTTGAGTGAACTGCTGTATCAGCTTCTAACCGGTCTCCTAAACTGTAGTTCTCCTCACCCCCATCCATCTTCCACGCCGACTCCTATTCTGCTGATAGCACTCCTCTACTTAAAACCTTCAGTGGTACCTCTCTGCCTGATCTCCGTGCACCCAGGACTCTGACGCTCCCCAGAGCACTTCCTACCCCGAGTCACTTCCTACCCCGAGTCACGACCTGTTTCATGTATGTCTTCAGCAGTCAACCAGGGGCTCTCTGAGAGCGAGGCATAGAATTGATACCTTTCTGTTACCTAGTGTCCAGCCTAAAGCCTGGGAAGGGAGGTGCTCAACAGAGAGCGCTAAATTAATCAAGCAAAAGAACCATGGAGAGGCAGTGTGACGCCAGTGTGCTGGCTCCAGGATGCTAACTGGCTGGTCCAGTCTGAAAATCTTGGCCCTGTTCAGAACAGCTCACGTGTCTAACAGACGTGTCTGAGGATCAGTTCGCAATGGGGCCAAAGATTAGCAGCCCTGGGGGTAGGTGAGGGGCCTTTGGAAACCTGCGTAAAATTGGTGCAGCATGCTGCGCAGGTGAAAGGGTTCTCAGTCTGGCTTAATAGCTAGCTTAGATTCTGAGATTAGTTAGCAGGAAAGAAGATGTTTCAGTTCCGGAGTATATTCTAGTCTGCTTGCTAAAATACATTGATTGTTGGAATGAAATCGCCTTAACTTTTAAGGAGATCTTTAAAAAGAAGTTTAAGCCTGCTAGCCAAATCATGATCCTAACTGGGAAAGGCAAACTTCGAAGGGCGAAGGTTGGTGGCCGGTGGCCACCATTTAGTGGAGACACTGCTTTAACTCCCACAGTCACAACAAAAGTCTCTTTATGGACCCACAGTGTGTCCCTCAAAAAACATCTGCAATGATAAAATCCAGGTCCCCCAAAGCCAGAGGGCTTGGGGCCATCCAAATGAACTCCATAACCTTATTAGGAAGAGGATGAAAAGAAAGATGACCTCCAAAACTAAAAATGCACTTTGTTGCTCCCATGAAAATTGCTGTATTTGTGCCCTAAAAAGTACTTCTGAAAGAATGCTTAGTCATCACTCAGAAACAGACTTTGGCAACAGCCTAAAGAGGTAATACACCATTTCTATTAATTTTCTTTTCCCTTTTTCTGCACTAGTTCCTAAGGAAGCTGCTCCATTCTGTTGAAGGACCTAAAAAGTTAGTCCAAGGCAGGGATGAAAGAAAAGAAAAATTCTCACAGGGAAACGGTTGTTCTTGACTTTAGGAAATGGCCACATCCAATGTGATTTTTACATGAAGAAAACCCATACATCTACTTACAAACAAAAAAAAGAAGATGGTACATCTGAAACATTTCAGACCTTCCAAAACAAGACACTGTAACTTTTAGAACTTTTCTCTCCTCCATTATTTTCCACAGCAGCTGAGGCCACAGAGTGCCCTTGTCTTGTGTCCTGTATGACCTTCCGAGCCCCTGACTCTGGGGCTCCCCCGTGTGTGTGCCGGCTGCCACTACCCACCTGGGCCCACCCCTGGGTCTGGTGGATCATCCCATGACTCCTGTTGGCTGTGCTCAGAGAGGAAGGTGAAACTTTCTAGGCTGTAACAAGCCGAACAATGGCAGAGTCATTTTTAACATTACAAGTAAAACTGGGCCCTTAATTCCTAAATTGGTCCTCACCTTTTTTCTTCTGGGATGTTCTCCAACAGCATTTGAAGGAAATCCTGGAATAAGAAAAAAGCAAATCATTAAAGATGTCCATCAATAAATAACCCTGCCCGGAGTCGTGCCAGAGACTGAGTGTTCCCAGCTGCTGACAGATCACCTGCTAGGGAAGATAGGCGACACTGAATTATTAGGCTATATACTCAGTTTATTAATTTACCAGGGCTTCAGTCCAATCAGTTAAAGAGATTTATTTTTGTGAAAACCACAAACAAATTGAAAAAAGAGTAATGTTTGTTATTTTGACCTAACCCAACAGTTTATTTCATTTCATGTTTGACTATTTTCAAAACGCTGGCCATAGCATTAAAGCACCATCCGTCTCTATGTAACCATGTTCTCCCCTACATGAGCTTTCCCTAGAGATCCTATAACACACAGAATAATCTCAACTCTGAGAGGCTAACATAACTAGTGGCTTTCTTTGCATTGCTCTACGAAAAGATAAAGACAAAAATCAAGACAATTAATATCCCGATTGGGGAACAAAGATGTCACAATTCCAAAAATAGTTCACAGGCCCCTGCCTCTATCTGCAGCCTCTTCCAGAGTCACTGCGCAAGTCCTCAATTGTTTGACGTTTATGATGTTTCAAAAATAGATTTTGTTTCTAATCTAAAGGCATGACTTGCATACATACCCACTTTATCTTTTACTATGGAAAATGGAAAATTTCAAACACATTTAAAAGTAGCAAAAAAATATAATTAACCTTCATGTAACCATTAACTCACAGCCACTCTACTCTATCCACTTACCTGCCGTCTGTATTAATTAGAAGTAATTATATAATTTCATCAGTCAATGTTTCAGTGAACGTCACTAAAAGATAAGGACTCTTAAAACATAACCACAATTCCATAAGACCTAAAAAATATTCACACTTGAATGTTCAAAAATCACATTTATATTTAATTTGCACCTTGAATATTGTGACCAATCTTTTCACCCCATATAATTCTGGAATCTTGATTTGGTCTCAACTAGGTTTGTCAGATAAAATATAGGATTTTTATAGTGTAAGTATGCTCTCAATGTAACTGGGGGCATACCTACACTAAAAAATTATTTGCTGTTTATCTGAAATTCTAAGTTAAATGGGGCTGTGCATTTTTATTTGCCAAATGAGTAAACAAGCCTAGTGTCAACTCTCCCTCATCTGAAGGTTGGATAAGATACATTTTGGATAAATACAGAACATGAAACAAACAAGAACAATATTTAACTTTCTAGGGCCTTGATATTGAACAATAAAAAAGATCTACATTTGAAGGTTTTCTTTTAATAAATGGAAAATAACCTTTTTTATTGTTATTGTTTTTTAACTTTTTAATTGAAGTATAGTCAGTTACAATGTGTCAATTTCTAGCGTTCAGCATAATGCTTCAGTCTTACATATACATACGTATGTTCATTTTCATATTTGTTTTCATTATAGGTCACTACAAGACACTGAAATATAGTTCCCTGTGCTATACAGAAGAAACTTGTTTACCTATTTTATATATAGTAGTTAGTATCTACAAATCTCGAACTCCCAATAAAATAAACTTTTAAATTGGTCCTTGTAAGAGGGCACACGTATAAGCACAGATGATCCAATAGGACACTGCCAAATGAGTGTCCCTCCAGACTGAAGCCCCCAGCACACCAAGTCTGCAGGCCAGACCAGAGCTCTGATGAGATCCATTTAACTCAGAGTGTGAGGTGGAAGCAGCAGTGCAGATCCCCGTATTACAAACAGAGAAATCTGCAAACAATTTGTATGACAAGGTGTTCTTTCTCTATCCTGGCACTAAGTGTAGCCGTTCCTACAGCCGTCCCTTTCTGTGTGTTTCTGGGTGGTTAGGTCCACTTCTTCCAGAGGCAAAGTTTCCCTATTAAGAGTGCGAATGAAAGATTTATTTCTTGCAACCTCTCTTCTCCTTCTAAGACCTTACTTGCCTATTGCTGCTTCACCCAAAATGAATGATTGAAATGTAACAAAATTAATATTAAAAAGATGTATCAGTCAAAATGCAAGGGGGCAAATCCAAATAGAATAATGCCTCCCATCTGAAGTCCTTCCTTGCACCTGTAGTGGCTATATGGAGGGAAAATACCAAAGGAAACAGAGTAATATTTAGACTCCAAAGAATTATTTTTTGATTGAGGTTCTTAGAGTCATTATTTTTTATTAATTTAATAGTTATTTTGTAAAAAAGAAAGTTGAATTAGAAATTAACTTTGCACAATCTGATATATTATTAGATTACTGTGCAGATATTTCATTGGCATAATGACAGAATTCCTGCTTTTTAAAAATCCACGTACTGTAATTGTAATTTCTTACTAATTTTACTTCATTATCTCCTTATAGTCCATATCAACTTACCCCATATTTGTCCAGTAATTTATGTTCAATTATGTGGGGGGGAAATTACATTAACTCAGTGGCAAGGGGGAGAATTTAATTGCATGAGAAGCAGGAAATCCAGCGTTAACCTTAATTCTGCCCTTTTGCATTTTCCAATTACAATTGGATCTTTCTTTACAGAAATGCAGAGCACAAATGTTTCAGAATTTTGTGTGAATACAAGTGCAGGAGGTCCCCAAGAAACCCTGCTTCATTTTTTAAGAAAGATAACTGTTCCATTTCTTAGCAGGGGGCATCTGCCTCTTCTTGCCCGGAGCTGAGAACTGGAGGCACACAGCAGCCAGCTGGAGGCTGCCAACCAGTGCTGGGGATGGTGGGGCTAGGGGAGCAAATTGATCACAAAAACTCAGTGCTTCAAGCATCTCTAAGACATGATGCCTTAGAGGCTATGGGAATCCTTGTCTACAGGGCTAGATATTCTTCTGCCCTGTGCTCCATTCAATCACAAAGACACTTGGTCTCATCCAGGCAGTCTTTGTCCCATCAGCGGAATCAATCAACTGGCCCTTCTTATTCCTTTCATAGATATAATCTTAACCACAAAATGCTAGTTTTCCTAGTTCTACTCATAAATTGGCATATGTCCCTTGAATGGACTCATCATAGAAGCTTTTCCTCATTCTCCACAACAGAGTGACATAAAGAGAAAGACGTGTCTTAAGACTATTCCTTTCCTTGCTGCCCGTTTTGAGTTCTTTCCTCTGTCTTCACTCTTCCCTTCAGTGTGCTGGCACTTTTATAAAAGCAACTTACAAATCTCAATTGGACAAGGAGGGCTTTCCTTCAAGGATGATGCTAGCATCAATGGCAGACTTAGGACATTGATGTTGATCTAGGATCACAACGTCATTTAGCAACAAATACTAGGGTTCCCAGTTTGTCACCACTAGAGCCTGAAAAAACCAAGTTAACCAAAAGCAGAAACAATAATCCTGCCATTTCGACGTGGGGGTGGGGTGAAAATTTATCTGGATCCTTGACAGTTGTTACAAGCTCATGCCTAGTTAAAAAAATACATTCCTTGGGAATTTTTTTTTCATTTTCTATTCTCCTAATAATCTATATGCTAATTAATTAGGTCAGTCCCAGACAGCTTATTTTGATCATCACCTAACAACACTAAATTAAGGATTAAGATTAAAAAAAAAAACTACACTGATTTTGGCACATGGCTAATTTCGTAATTATTTTGTAGTACTGGTAATTATTTTGTAGTATTCAGTAAAAAGCAGGTGCATATTGATTCTACTGGATAACCTGACTGTGACTCTGGCTTGATAATTACATGGATTAGGAATTTTTGTCAGATGTTTTATGAACAATCACCATGGTCATGGGGAAGAGGAAGTAGGTGAGGCAAAACAAAAATCAAAATGTTGAAATAAGGACAATGTTGGCAGGATAAGAACTGAGAAGAAATGAAATGGTCAGGAGCAAGTCATTGTTAAGCTCAAGAAAGAAGTTTTAGTTGGGAAGTAGAAAGATGATAACTTCTGAAATGCTGGGCAGATGGGATGTTCAGAAAGGAAAGAATTCAAAAGTCGGTTGAAAGAAGAAGAAATTGAAGAACTTCTTAATAAAGAAACTGAATCATGGACTTCCTCATCAATAACTAACTAGCAACATAAACAAAAACACAATCCATTAAAAAAAAAAGTCAGCCCAAAACTCCACTAACAGCATCCAAACAAGAAAAGAAGCAAAGCCTGTGGCATAAACTTAAAAGACACAACTAAAGAAAGAAACGTAAGATTCCAACACAGCCTCCAACCCTCCCTCTGTGTCGCCCCCTCCCTCACGCTTAGCGGTAGTGGGACTGGTGAGTTGCCCAAACCCCACAAATTCTCCCAAATACCCACACTATTGGAAAGAAACTGGAATATCTTAATTTTTCCTCTTTTTTTTTTTGACTGTGAAAATGTTTGCTCAAGTGAGATGAATAAAACTGAAGAAATAAACAACCAAGGATGACACGCTCATGAACTATTTAGGTTCTAGGGCTTCAAGATGAATTGGAGGAACAATATTAATTGAGAGAGTACTTGCAGTGGAAAAAAACTGCACCTGAATTAGATGAAGAGAATCTTGGCTGGGGACATTTAACAAAATTTCAAGAGTTGGTGGAGCTAAATTCTTGCAACAAAGGCTGTACACAGATCCACTGGAGCTCCTCCCCTCCACTCCTTCCATGCATAATATCCAAGTTTCAAACCATAGCTCAGAGAGGAAGAAAAACATGTCTGAGACAAGTAGGGAAAGAAATCAAGGATAATGTTCCAATACAATGAGAATAAATATACAGTCAGGACAGTTCATCTCATGCTGAGAAGGAGCAAGAAAAGAAGTATGGTAACTATGCAAACGAACACAACAAAAACCCACAGAGAGAGACAGAAATAAGAAGCATAACATAAAAGACAAAGAATCCAGTCTTGAAGAAAACATAATCTAAGGAACAGAAGAAAATTCTCCACAAATGTTTTACACTAAAATATAAATTAAAAGAAAATAATGGGAACATAAATTCAGTAAAATGAAAGCTCAAAGACAAGATGACAAAACAATAAAATGAGATGAAAAGAG